GGTGGGTGGATCACCTGAAGTCAGGAGTTCAAGACCAGCCTGGCCATCATGGTGGAACCCCATCTTTAAAAAAAAAAAAAAAAAAAAAAAAAAAACAAAATAAAAAAAAAAAAAAAAAAAAAAAAAAAAAAACTTACCAAAGGCTACAAGATGTAGCCAAGAGTACAACATCCTGAAGATTTTCCTATTATTTCCTCTAAAATGCAGCAGGTCTGCAGACTGTCTGCTGAGGTATAACAGGGAACAATTTAATCCTTTGTTTTGCACCCACAAGATGAGCATTACCAAATTCCCAATAGGGAATGCTGGGGCTGTGCTATGCCTCCACCCTACCCCCTCCACAGCCAGCTCCACGCGTCTCAGTCTGTAACTGATGGCATTCCACTTTGCCTGTACGGGTCAGGATTTTTCATTGCAAGCAATGGAAACAGACGGTGAGCACTATGTGGGGCAGAATTTGGCGGAAAGGAAATTGAAGAGCTCACACACTCATCACGAGGCTGTAGCCCCAGCCTCAGAAATCAGGTAGGAGCAAAGCAGGCCAGACAACAGCCAAAATCACACCACAAAGCCAATGGGGTGCCACCTTCACCGATGCTGCTGCAAAATCTGGCCCCAGCTAGCCCCACTGCTGCCGCTGGCATTCAGTATTTATGTCTCCACCAGTTTTCTGTCACGGCTGTCATGGACGTTCTGGTCACTGCTGCCACTGCCACTACTCACCATTAATGGCTTTTCCCTGAGATCACAACAAACCTGGCACATTTGTAGAACAAAGGAGAGAAACAGTGGCCTGTTTCAATTCAAAAGGCATAGTAACAGACTTGGGTGCAAGCCACCAGGTTGTAATTCAAGGCCTGGAGCATTTGCATCCGACTGACAGAGGCTAGTCCTGTGCCTGCCTCTAGCTGCAAGGGAGGTGGTAAAAGCAAGGTCCTGCTACTTTCAGCTTTATCACTGGGAGGTGGGCTTTGTTTCCCACCAAGAGTCATAAGGTGGGGTTTTCCCACCCACAGGATGGGATTTCAAATGCTAATCAACAACACTTCGAGCCCCTGAAGCCAAAAAATATATTTACTCTGCCATCTAATCTTACAGCCCTCCAAGGCGAGTTGTGTGAACCCCATTTTATAGACACAGAAGCTGAGACTCAAAAGCTCAAAGCACCATGCCCTAGGTCACACAGCTACTAAGTGCAAAGCTGGGAGTCCAACTCCAAAGCCTGCAGCCTTTCTGTTGCCCAGAGCCACCTCCTGAGGGGCTTCCTCTGGCCTCCTCCAGCCTGATCATGAGTAGCCCCTTCCACTGGCCTCTGCACAAAAGGCGTCCTCTGCTGAGTGGCTCCCTCGTTTGGTCTTCAGCATTGCCTGTGTCACTTGGTTAGTTTCCCTGCCTTGAGTTCCCCCACTGAACCTGAAGTGCATGAGATACACTTCCTACAGCTCTCCTCAGCCCCTGTGTATTCACCTGAAAGGCTGCCACATTTGTGAGTTGATGACTGACCAAATAGATAACAGCCCGTTCGAAATTCCCATCTCTGAACTAGCTTCCTGTGACTCTAAATGAATTTCACTAGTCTCTGCATCAGTTTCTCTTATTAAACGGAAGTAATAATAAGGTAACAATATCCTCTACCATGCCTGAAATTAAATGCATTAAAATATCTTTATATTAGAGAAAACTAAATTAAAGGACTTAATGTAGCTCCTGTCTCTTATTTTATTTCTTGAAACAGTGTTTTGTTCTTGTTGCCCAGGCTGGAGTGCAATGGTGCAATCTCAGCTCACCACAGCCTCCACCTCCCAGGTTCAAGCAATTCTCCTGCTTCAGCCTCCTGAGTAGCTGGGATTACAGGCATGCGCCACCACACCCGGTTAATTTTGTATTTTTATTATTTTTTTTTTTAAAGATGGGGTTTCTCCATGATGGCCAGGCTGGTCTTGAACTCCTGACCTCAGGTGATCCACCCACCTCAGCCTCCCAAAGTGCTAGGATTACAGGCGTGAGCCACCGAGCCCAGCTTTTTTTT